GTGCCACCCCGAATTGTACGTATTGCTATAAGGATTGTTCTTATTGTTGGCCCTCCTAGCATTAGCAATGAAGTGCACTTGCTCTTTCGGAGTAGTTTCCGCCATCATAATTTGACATTCTTTCACTGCATGGTTGGGGCTTGAACACTATTCACACACCAAAATCGAACTCTTTCCTTTATTACTATCCTTCATTAGTACCTTGATCAACCCATCAATCTTCGCTTCAAGTGAAGGGTTTGGTAGAATGCACTCCCTCCTCACAAATCTTCATTCCTCACCTCGTCCCCAATCATAGCCATTCACGGCTATTTCTTCAAAAAACTCCATCATTTGGGATGGAGTCTTGTTAATCATATTCCCTTAACACAAGGAATCGATGAGAATCCCTTGACACAATGAAAGATACCATTGTAGAAAGTTTCAATCCTGAATTGCTCATCAAAACCATGGTGTGGGCATTGGAGAAAGAGATTGGAGTAGTGCTCCCAAGCATTTCTCAAAGTTTCATAATCTTTTTGAGCAAATTGGTAGATCTTCTTTTGATACTCCGTCGTCTTGGAAAGTGAGAAATACCTTGTCATGAACTTGGTCAACAAGTCATCCTAAGATGTGATTAAGAGTGGAGGTCTATTGTTCAACCAACTTTGTGCCTTGTCACTTAGGGAGTATGGAAAGAGCCTCAACCTAAGAGCTTATTTTGGCATTCCATTAATCTTTAAACCATCCATCAACTCATAGAACTATTGATGTGCTCCCTTGGAGACTCGTTTTCAAGACCATGATACTAGATGTTGCTTTGGATCATGGTGATGAGACCAGTCTCGATCGCAAATTATTGGCCGCCACAGGAAAATTTCGGATGCTAAGTTGGATGTCCGCCACCCGTGAGGTCATATAATATCCCGTAGTCCTTGCTTCATCCCCCTCTTGTTTGGCTTGGTTCTCTTCAATTGTTAAGTCTAATGGTTGGTCAAGGCCATCACAACTTCTTCTTCAATTTTAACTTTGGGTTCAATGTGAGGTTGAGCCCAAACTACAAGCATACTTCACGAACGTTATTTACAACAGCGAAACGCGCACTCACACACTATATAAAGGAGAGAGAGAGAGAGCATAGAGCTACGATCAAGGAAGAGTTAAATGTGAATTTAACCTACCCAAGGAAATTTAACCTACCCAAGGAATTTAACCTACCCAATGTGTGGAGAGAGAGAAAAACCCATGATCTCAAAGCAAAACGCGCCATTCCATTAACACACTTCACGGTACGGGACCGTGATCCTTGCAATGCCCACAAAATGCACAAAAGCTCCAGGAACTTTGCGAGCTTAATGGTTTGCGCATCAACATCACGGTTGCTGCCCGTGACAATTCCTGTCATCCCGTGATCCTTGTACTTTTCTCCACTTTGCTCCCTTTCCGATCCCTTTTGTTCGGCTTTGCATCATGTTACCCATTCTACCTACGAAGGTCTGAAACATGCCAAAACAAGACCAAACCTAACATAAAATAGCTCCAAGGACGGTGCAAACCAAGTTAAACAGCACAAGGTAAGGGGTATATAATCATACAATCTACCCCGAATCATTAGTTATTACCCCCACCTGCAAAAACACAGTCAAACTGGGTGAACAAGTTCCACAATGCAACAATCTCCTTCAAGATTGGCCCTCCTCGTGCATCTCGGTCCTTGCTATTATTAACCTTTCCAAAGAAAACATTTGTATCTTCAATGAAGGTGACTGATGTCCATCTTATCAGCACACCAATGAATAACATCATGCAATGCCAGAAGAGAAACAACAACATTGACTTCTTGTTTTATTTATAAAGTGGTATTGGTGTTTTTTTGAAGTAGTAGTTTTATTTTATGATTTTTTATTGGTTTCTTGTTTATTTTTGTAGTGGTATAGGTTCGGCTGAATGTGAGAATAGAAAGTTTGAGAAGAAGAAGGAAGAGAGGTGGCTGGAGAACTGCTAGAGTTGGAGGGAGAGAGAGAAAATTTCAATTAATATTTATATCTAACTTCTAAAATTGTAATTTATTAAAAGGGTCAGTCTATTATACTCCTGGAGTATACTACGCTCCAGGTAATCCAAGTGAGATATCCACATCTTGAGCATGAATTAAAACGAGTTTGTGGTATGATACTGTACCCTAACTTCTAATAGATAATCATAAAACCCAGCCTACGATTTTCTAAACCCAAACTCGAAGATCCATTAAATAAAAAACTATTAATCGAAGATTCTGATTCGTTAAATCAAATGATATATCTAACGGTAATATCACTTGGAATATGGTATACTCGTGAAGTAAGACAATCATTATCTTTATTAAAAAAATAATTGATAAGTTTGTATACCCAGTTTGCTTTTAGTTGTCAGGGGACTACTACTATCAAGTAGTCACCATATTTAGTCCCAAATATTAGTTGTCGTTTTTGGGAAGAGAAGGTAAGGGGCAGCGCAAACAATGATTAGGGTCCAATGTGCATGGGACAACATTGAGTTTTGGATTCGGTGTATCCGATTACGCCTTAATGGCTTGATTAAGTCCATTTGGTGGAGCTTAGTTGTCCTACAGTGGGGACGCTTGTGTGTTTTTTTTGTTTTTTTTTTTTTTGTAGGGGCACACAGAAGAGCTCCCGATATCAGAGAGACTTCCTCAGACAGGTGACTTGGCTCATGATCAGGATGGAACTATCTTGCAGGATGCTTAGAGCTTGGCTTTTCTCTTTAGTTGGATTTCTTACTATTTTGTTCTCCGCTGACTCAATAGAGCTGCCCATCGTGTGGCATAAAAGGCTCTCTCATCGGGAGTTCGACTATTGGTCGACTCCCGCACTCTTTTTATTTTCTCTGTATGACTGATTTTGTAACAACTGACTTTGCGAAAAGAAAAAAAAGTTTTGGGCCGGTAATCCTTAGGTTTTCTTACTGCAACAATTCTCGGTTGATTTTGCACATGATCCTTGGATGCCACAATTTTCTGTTCGATCATGACATATTAGTTAGCCATAGCAACCCCCATGCATTTAATCTTTTTTCAAGCACAAGTCGGTTCTTGCTCAAACCGATGGTTCCTACTCTTTCAACTGCTGCACATTCGCCGTTTGGTAGCAAGTATGGACCCAGTGGCGGATTCAGGAATTCTACGTAGGGGTGTCCTCTATAAAAATTAAATTAAATTAAATATTAGAATTAAATTAAATAATTATATAAATATGAAAATATCTAACTAATAAAAGTTTCATTAAAAGTTCAGACGTGTTTCATCAAATGATAAAATGCATTCGATGTTTATACTGCTTAACAAATATCTCTCGACATATCTTACTAGACAAGGATATCCCGTAATTGAGTTTAATCGTTAGGTTTTGAAAATAATTTGAGATAAGAATAGCATTTTACTATTATATTTGGATCTAAAACACAAAACACAATAACAAATGAGTTATAGCGTAATTGAAAATATATCAACTAATAGTGGCAGTGTCCCAAATTTAAATCACATAAACTACTACTTAAATATTATTTATACCAATACGCAAACTACTACGGGAGATTGGATAATCATTTTCCCAAATTTTAAAGGTGTCCCACTACCACTTAAACATTTTTTTTCTCATACGCAAATTACTATCGTAGGTTGAATAATCGTGTTTCCAAATTTAAACCATGCTGCCACTGTATGGACCCAACGAAAATTGACCAAGTAGTTGCTTTAGATGATGAAATCATCGACATCGACACGGTAAAAGCACATATCTCCCTTGTAGGATGTTTGTTCTCCCCTCATCCTCTGTCTCGTACTGTAATGGAACGGGATTGTCAGCTGGATTGTGGTGGTTTGTCATTGCGGATGTCAATGATATCTCCACGTAAAAAAGAACTATAGTGAAATACAATACTAAATATATACAATTTAATAAACCGTAGAGCTTGGCTGGTTATCTTTTAGTAAAACGTGTTGTTTATAAACTAATTTATCTCATTGACATTGTGGGGATGTAGCTCAAATGGTAGAGCGCCCGCTTTGCATGCGGGAGGTACAGGGTTCGATCCCCTGCATCTCCACAAGATTCATTTTTACCGGAAAGTCACATTACAACGACACCGTTTCTTTTCCCTCCATTTAGATTCATTTTTACAGAAAAGTCATATTAGAACGACGTCGCTTTATATTCCTCCATTGAGATTAGCAGTAAGACTGCCGTTAGAACGACGTCGCTTTTTGTTCCTCCATAGATTAGCAGTAAGACTGCCGTCGGGCGGTCGGAACTCGGAAGGCTTTAGTTGGTTCTGTTCAAGTAAGCTTTTCCTTCCGTCGTTTCTCTTCATGTACTGAAACTCAGACAGATTGATTCCTAGCGTCACCGGAATCTTTGTTCAGTCCCTTTTCTCGTTTAATTTTGGGATTCCGGTGAGACAGCTGCTACCATCCGCCGCCTTCTCTTGGAAGTTTCGAGAGGCGGAATTAAGACGTTCGAAGCTCGACGAAGTTGCCAAGATGACCGGAAAATTGTTGGTAGATAGGGTTCTAGCACTGAAGAGTTCCTCCCAATCGAAACTTCGCTTCCAGCTTCTTAGGGCTTCCTTATTCCACCATTTCACCATGACTCCGCCTTCTCCGTTACCATCGGCCAGCAGAACTAGGTTTGTCTCTACCATCTCCTAACTCAACTGTGCATCTGTTAAAGTGAATATGGCTTTTATCTTCTCCTACAACATGCTTTGGCTTTAGGTTCTTGGAAGATTGAGAACTTGCAGAACTCAGAAGTTCCCCTTTCTTTCATTGATTTGAAAATTTTACTCCAACCCATGTAGTTTGTGAAGCTCTAGAAGTGCTTTTGATGGTATATTAGAGTGCTTGAAGAATCATATGGTTTGATTGACCCACCTGAAATATCCGATTTCATTGAAATCTTGGCTCTTACTTGAGCAGCTTGGTTGATATTGTGTGCAAGGCTGGTGTTCAGAAACCTGCTACCAACCCTGTCCACGGTATTAAACTGTGGACTGCGTGGATTCATTCGACCCCACCTCTGGGCAGTGTCAACCAATCTGAAACTGCTGTGCCTGTTGATGGGGCTAGCAATGCCAATGTGAAGAGGAAAAAACTGAAAGGAAAGAGAGCAGTTGTTAGGTGGTTAAAGTACTTCAGATGGAAGAAGAAGAAAGATTATGAGAGAATGACATCAGAAGAAAAGATCCTTTATAAGTTAACGAAGGTAATACTGAATAGAGGTTTTTATTATGAACTGCAGCCTTTTTCAATCCACTTGTTTCTGTTTGTGTATTATGGGTTGTAATCTCGAATTTCTCACAGGCTCGTAGAAAGGAGGAAAGGCTGATCACTGCCTTGAAGAAGATCGAACCTTCAGAATCATCGGAAGCAACCCATGATCCCGAGATATTGACCCCAGAAGAACATTTCTTCTTCTTGAAGATGGGGATCAAGTGCAAGAATTATGTCCCTGTTGGAAGACGAGGGATATACCAAGGTGTCATACTCAACATGCATTTGCACTGGAAGAAGCATCAGACACTCCAGGTGATTGTCAAGACATTTCCACCAGACGAGGTCAAGGAGATTGCCACTGAGCTGGCACGATTATCAGGAGGTATTGTACTGGATATTCACCAAGGAAATACGATTATCATGTACAGAGGCAAGAACTATGTGCAGCCCCCTACAGAGATCATGTCACCCAGGGTCACTCTCCCCAGAAAGAAGGTTTGTATTTCTCCACCTGCTTTTGCATTTACTGTCCTTCATGAATAAGCTCGACGTGAAGTGTGGAACTTATTGTTTACATTTAGAAATCAATGATAGGTCGTTGGTCGTTCAGAGTATTAGGAGGCCAAATATGCAATAAAATGCAAACGAATAAACATATTGACTTCCGTGTACAGAGACAAGAACTACGTGCATCACAATCTCAAACGCACTCAAACAATATGAAGAGTCAATAAAGACGATATGTTTATTCATTGGTATTCACCTTGAATTCCAAATGCATTAAAATGGTGTAGTCTCGGTTTTTTTTGGGGGGGGGGGGGGGGGGGGTTGAAGTTTTTGAGAACTGGACTTTTTCAATCGAAAACAAGAGCAGGTTCTGGTTTCTCCTGGGGTTTTTTTTTTTGAGTGATTCTCATGGTCTTCTGCTCCCTCTTGTCTATAGGCACTTGACAAGTCCAAGTACAAAGATGCCCTCCGAGGGGTTAGAAGGCAGATTCCAAGGCTTGAACAGGAGCTTGATTTGCTTCGTGTTCAGGGCAAGGTCAAACCGCGAAACCAGGCTAATGCTGTTGATCATGAAGCTGATGAGGCTCGCATAGCTGATACAGAAAATGAAAGCCTTTCAAGCGGACCACTGGAAGGTTCGAGCAAACTCAAACAACTTCTAGATGATGCGAAGGAAACATATAATGATGATTCAGATACGGATGATGAAATGATATCAGATTCAGAAGATCTGTCAGACATCTTTGAGACTGATTCTGGGACGGAGATGGATGAAGAGAAGGATGAACGGCCCTTATACTTGGATCAGTTTGAAAAGTTCCCGGTTCAAGATGATGGAGAGCCTGAAGATTTTGAAGAGTATTTAAAGAAGGCATCTGGAGACTCCAAAGGTGGAGATTCACCAACTTTTGATGAGGTCGACCGTATGTTCATACGTGCAGCCTCTCTGTTAAGGAAAAATAGGAGGCACAACTAATAAGCCGGCGTGCTGCCTTACTCTGAGACTTAATGTGGTATATCTTGACATCTCGAATGCCATTTTCTCCAAGGTAAACTAAATCGCTTAACAATAGACATGTAGTTGGTGCAATTTACTGCCTGCCAACAGGCAAAACAAGATGAACAAATAACATTATGGAGGCAGCGCCATTGTTTGGGTGGCCTCTACAAATTACAGGTACTAGTATGTTAGGGAGTGAGATCAAACCATGGTTTCTGTGTTATCTCTTGACGCTAACTATATAATTTTATCTAGATAATGACATCTGTTGATGCTTGACTGTATTATCGTATCTGTTATATTTGCTTGTGAAACTAGCTTCATTTCTACTTCTCCCCAGGGAAAGTATAAATGGGTAATTTCTGCAATGCCCCAACGCTCTGATATGCTAAATTTCATGATTAGTCACGGAGATTATTAAAAAAAAGCTAAGTTTGGTCACTAAAAGTATTTGATTCCATATGTGGTCATTGAAATTATTAAAAAATGTCTAGTTGGTCACTCTTCCACCTTCGCCCAACTTCGTTAATCTTTGCTTATATGCAGTCAACTCTTTAAATTGACCGTTAAATACATGACATAGCAATTAAAAAATTTAAAATTAATAAAATTTAAAATTTCAAAACTTCCACCTCATACCATACCGCTCCCCCTTTCCTTTTTCCTTCCTCTTTCTTCCTTGCTTTCAATTTCTCCGGTAGAGCTCAAACTTGCTTTTTCACCTTCTTCTTTCTGTGTTGTTTCCAGAAAATGAAACGGAAAAGCCCGTTTCCAATTCCAAAAGTGACCCATTACTTTCTGCTCTGGTTTTGTGTCCTCCTTCTGTTTCTGAGTCATCGTCGGAAAAGTCAGCTCTGTTGGACTTCAAGTTTACGGTCTCCGATCCCTATGGAACTCTTCTCTCCACCTGTTTCTGAGTCATCGTCGGAAAAGTCAGCTCTGTTGGACTTCAAGTTTACGGTCTCCGATCCCTATGGAACTCTTCTCTCCACCTGGATTCCGGAGCTCCACCACTGTGCATGGGTTAGGGTAGTGTTTTCCGGCGAGAAACCTTGCGTTGAAATAAATGAATTGCACCTTTGACTTCTTTGGACAACGATTTCTAAGACACTGCTCACACCTCTTCAAACAAAATTCGAACGATGGTGTTTGATTGATGGTTTCAGGGAATGAAAATCTAAATTAAGGTACTCCTACTCCTATGAAGGTTCATCGAGAGCTCCAAACTACGACTATGGCTACATTTATAGAGAAATGATAAAAACTTGATGTAGGCGTCATTTGTGTGGTTTTGGGACTCCTGTCTCTGTCGACACCTCCTATTTATAGCCTCGAGGAGGTAACTATTGTAGAAAACCGCTTGTTGGATAACTGTTACCAAGAACTGCTCCCCCTTCTTCGGTAGAAAATCGCCTCTTGGATAACTCCCAAAGAGAACCGCTCCCTGCTTCCTTGTAGTGGTGGTTACTCCTTCACCCGCCTAGGTGCCTCTCTTGGAACCGTCGTGGATCTTGTAGCTTGCCTCGCCTCGTTCAAAATCTCGTGCCATGCCAATCTTTTGATAAGCATGTGGTGTCTCACAAAAGGGGGTCGTGGTCCTCTTGTCAGGTGGCCATGGACTTCTTACTCATGTCCTTGGCCTTCTTGTCTCACGGCCATGGACCTCTTGGGACTTAGTCACTAGTGATATAATGCTCCACCATCACGCCCTTCTCACTTGTGTCCATGGCCACTCTCCTGAGGTGGCATGGACCTCTCTATCATGCACATGGCCCCTCTCGTGAAGCGATATGTCCTTCCCAGACTTAGAATATTTTTGGATCGTTCGAACTTGGTCATGAGGCGGTATGGCCTCTTCATTCGCGACCATGGACTTCTCAGTCATTCCCGTGGCCCTTCCCGTGACACGAGATGACCTTCTCATACTTAGAATTTTTCAATAGTGTCTAGGGCCTCTTTTCTCGCGTCCATGCCCCTTGTCGTGAAGTGGCATGGACCTCTCAGACTTAGTCATTTTTCAATCATTCGGCCTTGGTCGTAGGGCGGCTCCTCAATTTCTAGACGAACATGGCCCTTCTGGTTGAGGCGGCATGTGCCTCTAGATTTTAGATGGACATGGTCCTTCTCGTTGAAGCGGCATGTCCCTCTCCAGACTTAGTTGTTTGGAATTGAAATCAATATCCATAAGGCCCAACTTAAACACCATTAATTGTTATAATGGGGTTGGCCTTTAAACTCCTTGATTATCTTGTAACTCACCAATGTGGTACAAGACAAAATTTATGGTGTAAACAGGTAGCTTGCAACTCCTGGTCCTAGGTTGTCTCCCTCAGGTCTCTGGTTTGGGTCGTCGACTCGTCGTGGGAAGTTAGTCGGAAAGTTGATGCCTTTGATTGGGAAGCTCAGGGTTTGTCTATGCATTTCAACGAGCTCGGTGGCGAAATTCCTTCTTAGATTTGGGATTTGAAGGAGCTAGAAGTGCTTGATCAAGAAAGAAACTTGTTTACCGGCGAATTCTCTGGTCAATTTAGTGGTGAGTTGACGAAATTAAGAATTTTGAATATAGGGTTCAACAGAATCCATGAAGAAATCCCTACTTCAATTTCCAGATTTGCAGGTGAAACTCGATTCTAGAGAGCCTGTGGTTCGGGTGTCGATCTCGACGTGGCCAATCGACAGGGAGCAGCAGCTGAATGTGTTTCAGATGGTGGTGGAGTGGGGGCTGGGGGTGGAAATTGCTTCTTCTCAGATGCGTCGGCGGTGCGAGGGAACTTGAAAACGTCGGTCTACAAGAAGAAGAGATTGAGCAATAAAATATTTTTATTTTTATTTTTTAATGATGAGAAGAATGTGGAAATTTTGAAAATATTTAATTTTATAATTGCCATGTCATATATTTAACGGTCAACTTAAAGAGTTGACTGCTACATAAGCAAAAATTAACGGAGTTGGACTGAGAGTGACCAAACTTGACATTTTTTAGTAATCTCAGTGACTAATTATGACATTTACCCCTCTGATATTAACATCTTTTCAATTCCTCAGCTCAACGGTTCGAACCGATAAATAGGGATGTCAATTTCGACCTGACCCGTTTTACCCAGCCTGTTTGGCCTGTTTTAGGGCGGGTCTGACCCGCCCCGTAGGCGGGGGCAGGGTGGGCATGAGTACTCTCATCGCCCCGACCTACCTTGAACCGTCTCATTCTCGACCCGTTCTTGCCTAAATTACATGTAATCGTAGTCAAATTACTTAATATTTTTCATTTTTCTTTTATTACATCAAAATTTAGCTATAAGAAAGTTGTAATTTAGTGAAAACCTCAATTTCTCTAATAATTTAACTACATTTATCATAATATTGTTTGTTTTCTTGGTCTTGTAATAAAAATAACGAATATTTCTAATGCTTTTCATATAAATTGCATACTCATTGGGTCGATCTGCCCCGACCTGCGACCCGTGATAAATTACCCGACATGCACCCGACCTGCCACGAGGCGGGTCTGGATACAAGAAACGTGTCCCGAATCTACCCGTTGCCATTCCTACCGATAAACAAATTGGCGAATTATGAAATCTAGGCAACTCTTTTTTTTTTTCTTTTCTTTGAAAGGGGGTATTCATTAAATGAGAACTGGAGCCCAAAGCAAGACAGGGGAGGCTGAGAATCAGCAACACCGATGGAAGGAGACAAGGAAGGAGAGCCTCTTTACCGTTGTCCATTGCTTTGGTCATGTTCGTCTTATCATCAATTATAATTGAGAAGGGAGCTTGATGCTAGGCAGGGGATGTTGGGTTCTAGGAGGAGTTCGATCGCCATCCGCCATCTAGTCTAGGAAGGAAGCTTCGATCAATCTTCGTCTGTCATTGGGGAAGGAAGCCTAGATGGAAAAGAGTAAACATGATTTAGGATTAGGTCGTTGTGTGTCTCATTAGCGGGGGCTGGAGAAGGCAGGTAGACGCGTGCAAAAATGAGAGGGTTATGTGCTGCCCAAGGTTGTCAAACCGGTTTATGCCAGTGTGCCGGTTTAGCAAGTGAAATGGTTCAACCGGTGGCACATACCGGTTTGTGCCGGTTCATGCCGGTCAATATTACAAATAAAATTATAAATACTTAGACATTTAACATCAATACCTAAACATTTATACTTGAATCCAACAAATAACATCAATATTTAACTTTTATACTCATAAAATAATTTTTATCAATTAAATTCTCTAAAATAAAGTCATTTTACTTAGAGATTATCATGCCGGTCATACCGGTGGTGTCACGCCGGTTTTATGACCGGTACCGGTTGAACCCGGTACAACCGGTGGCACGCCGGCCGGCGTGACAACCATGGTGCTGCCTAAATCCTAAAGCGACTTAGTAGGAGCCGGGGGTTTGTTAGCGGTTAGGGGCAATGTAGTCAAAATCTCGATTTTAATCTTAAAATCTTATGATTTTACGATCTTATCTATGGGTTCCGATCCTGATTTTACTGTAAAATCTTTGAATCTTAAAATCCCATAAAATCCCGATTTAAAACTCTAAAATCCTTAAAATCTACGATTTTGTACGATTTCAAGGTTCACATCAATTGGAGCAAAATGAGGCTGGTCAAGTCCGGTTCTGTCCACAGATCAAGTCAAGTTTACTTCCCACGACCCAACATAATGAACAACACAACCCTAATCCAATAGACAACACTCAATTTATTTTCATTCTCTTCCTCGTATCTTCCTCTTTCGCACGTCGACGCCCAACTCCTTCCATCAACGATATCTTCCACTCTCCCAATTAGCTTGTAGGTTTTTCCCACCACCCTCACAAAAATCCAAATCTAAATTCCATTGTGATGACTTGATATATACATATGTTTTTATCCACCATTCTTATGTCGTCTGAGCCTCATTTCTCGTATCTTAGGTCGATTTCATGCTAGGTTGTTCTTGTTTGTGATATTTCGGGTCCTAGTACATGATTGGAGG